TGTGTGTTCTCCTATCTCCTTGCTTTTTTCTCCTACTTTGGCAAAGTGTTATTGAAAAAAGCGAAACTTACGTACCCAAACCAAAAAAAGCTTGTTAGCGCAGCCACTTTGGGGCTGAAATGTGGAATTCACATATCTTCTTTGGTTTCATTAAACTAATCACAAAATACCCAATATTTAAATTCTCCAAAACATAATAGTTCTTTTCTAATAAAAATCGATTATCAGAAAACGCTGTCTTTTTTATCTCTAAATTTCGAACATACATTTTCTCTTTTTTTTGACGAAGTTGCTACGGTCTGTAATGGGGAGTGTCTGTAACGGGGGTGTCTGTAATGATGGCCTGTCTATAATGGGAGCTTACCTTGCTATGATCTGTAATGGGGGCCTGTCTGTAAGGGGAGGAGGTGGCGGAGCCTTGAAACCTTGAACTTAAAACGTACACTCCCTATTGTCTTCGAAAATATATGTGAGTTCCACAAAACTTGCAATCTATTTTTTGGTCACTGAATAAAACCGATGACTCAATTGTAGACAAGTCTCACTTTTCAATGATTCACGCATGTGTAATTGCAAAAAATATATAAGCAGATTTTATGGGTTTTTACTTGCCACATCATTCATAGTTGAGTCATAACAATAGCCTCCGTTGACGTCAGCAATAGTATTTAACAAAATTCTTCGAGTATTATTATATTTACATATATTTTTCTTCATACTCAATTTTTGCTGCTCGTAGTTGTTGACACATTTCTTTAGATTTTTATCATTCTTATTCAAGAGTCAAACAGTAAAAGAAAATCAAATCTTAACAATGAAACTATTGGCAATATTTGTTTTACATAAGGATGTTGATAAAAAAGTGAAAATACTTCAGGAAGAGTTTAATCTTGAAAGTTTTGGTTATTTTCAACGTCTTAGGTAAGATTTACTTGAATATAATTTAGGTTTATATTACTTGATGCATTTTTTCTTTTTAGTGTACAACAATTATTTGGTTTCTCGGCACGAACAGTTACAGAACGTACAGCCTTAGGTACAAAGCAGTCAGTTGAAGCTGACCAAACTGCTAAAGGTAAAAAAGGAAAAAAATTTTTTTTTGCTTTTATTTAAGAATACTTTTTTAGGTTTCATTCATATTTATGTTCGTCCAGATGGTTTAGCATCAGTTATTATTGCTGATAGTGAATATCCACAACGAGTGGCACATACCCTTCTTAGTAAGGTGAATACTCATTTATATAAATATTGGGTGTATCAGGAGTTTTGCGACATTTAGTATCTATCGAATATCTCAGCCGAGATCAATCGTATGATCTTGATTCTTTTGTTAAAAGACGCATTGTGAAAAGCTCTACAAAAAATTGTAAGAGCAGATCCCCATTAAGTTTTTCTGATGGTGTCGGCTACATTCAAAATGAATAGATCAGATGATGGTCCTATGTCCTACGGTATTAAGTATTTGGAAGATAGTTTTATTTCGCAACAGGAACTTGCTCATACAGGTTTTGTAGAACTTTCAACGGCACATCTTTTAAAAAAAAAGATCAAGACGTTATCATTTTCCCAAGTCGAGATATTCGTAAAATAGAAGAAGAAGTCTTCCAAAAAATTTTGTTATACTAATTACGGTGGAACATAATATCGTCATGTGATCTGTTCATTTTGAGTATCGGAGATACTATCTGAGGAAGTCAATAGGGATTCGTTCTTACAGTTTTGTAGAGCTTTTCACGACGCATCTTGTAAAAAGAAGAATGAAAGATTATACGATTGATCTCTACTGCAATATTTGAAAAATACTAAATGTCGCAAAACTCCTGATACACCCAGTATATATTTTTTT